GTGAATGTGTTTGAGGCACGTTCTCATGCTAAGACGCCCATAGAGGTGTTTCCTGGTGTAAAGGTTAAACCCCACTCCCTAGAAATGGAAGGAAGGTGCACGCCACCTCCTCCTAAAACAGGCGAGAAAAGGCAGTATTTTCAAACTAACAAACCGCATAATGAAGGTGCACGCTGGAACAAAAAAACTCCTCTTTCAGAGGATGAACGTGATTATCGTACATGGGACATGCGCAGGACGCAAGAATATGGGATCCAAGAGGACCCATATTATCATGGGAAATCCGAAGAGGAACCCCCAAAAGACGTACCTAGCCGCCTCCCACCTCGGACGAAACGTCCCGAGGCGAAAAAATCACAAAAGTTCCAGGAACAAGGCCCTAAACCTCTGAGCTCGGAAGAGACAGTGGAAATGCAAAGGTTTTTAGACACTTTGATACATGCTGAAATGGGAACCCAACCAGGAGCACAATGTAGTGATCTGATCGCTACTAACTCTGAAGGCGCGAATGACAACATTACAGATGTCGGTGAAACACACCAAGACATTGCTGTTATTGCCTCCAACAACCCCTCATCGGACGAAGGGGGGATAAACTCACACACAAACGATGATGAGTCATCGCAAACTGAAAACTCAGAACCTGACCTTCATGATTTTGAACTAGGCGTTCCAGTTCTGGGAGGACTCCCAGATAATCTGGTACCGAGTCAAGACACTGGGCCAGTATGTTTCACGAAACCATCACAGGCCACAGCTCTTTTCTCAACCAATGACGTCGACCAAGGACCACAAACCTATGGTGCCTTGCCCATAGACAGGTCCGACGACTCAGAAAAGGATTCGTTGGAGCTCCCCATGGAGCAAGAACCCTCATCAGTCTCATCACAGATTGAACAGGTGGTCGCTCAAGCCGACACTCTGACATCTGATGAAGAAAGAGACAAACTTAGCCAAGTTCTTTTAAAATATGAAAAGTCAATTTCAACTGACCCAGACATCATCCAACTTCAGACGTTGGATGATCCTGCAATTAACTCGATGATACTGTATCTGACTGACCCAGACAAATACACTCCATCGAAAGTCAAACTGGATTCCAATCCAGACCTTAAAGTCCTCTTTCAGCTGCGCAAACAGTTAAAACTACTCAAGGACAACCTAACTTTAGCTCATGGAGCGACGTCCTCACCCGTGTTCGCAGTCTCCCATGACCGAAGGGGGGTGACGCCAGTTAGGATAATGCTACCAGACGCGATAACATGATCAAATCTGACATTCAGAGTGAGTGGCGCACCGAAACGTTGTTTCCTAGTTGCTTAATCACTGCTTTTGTCGATGTTGAAACGTTGTTTAACTGGTTGCTTAGTTACTGTTCTTGTCGATGTTGAGACATCGTTTAATTGGTTTTTGGTATTGTTTTCGAACACCCCAGGCAAGAATGAATTTTGTTGTGTAGTAAGTTAGAGACTAAGAAGCCTTGACCATGCCAACATGCAGTTCATTCATTAAATTGCAATCTTTGCGGAGTCAATGTATATTATTGCTACCTTGAGTACCATAATCTACATTGATCTCACAACGCTTAAGCCGAACCTACTCGAACAATTCTATTCGGGGGGATAGCTAATTCTTTTTGATAAGTCTCGCCATAGACTTCCAAAACATTTATGGGAAAACCAAACACCCAATCTCAAGTCGTTCGTCTAAAAGACAACAGACAATTGCACCAAACTATATTTTACCATGTAAAGCTAACTTAAACCAAGTTAGAAATGGAAAAATAGTTTGGAACACTCTTCTATAGGCATAAACCCCTGTAGTTACCCCTTTCCAGCATTCTCCACCCCTTAACTGGTAGTTGTAGCTGTTCCCAACCATAATAGCTTACACACCAGATGCATATAGTTTAAGGCCTTATGTAAAATCCCCTTCATAAGCCCACCTTAAACCACATAATTGCATGACACATTGAACCAGAACGGCACAGGCTGGACGTCGCTGGAGACAACCTTCGCTGGAGGCGACCTGCAATCCTGACGTTGGTCTCCACTCTTCATCCAGTGGCCGCTTCTTCAGTTCAACCCAAGGGTACCCCTCTGTATGCTGATTAATCAACACTTCCAATCGCTGTGGATTTACCGTTGTGGATTATATGACTTTTTCCAGTGGATTACAGACTCTGTTTCCAAGGGGTTAAAAGCATTGCTACAATGGAATTATCGAGACGATATGGGATTATAATCAACACAATGGAATACCAAGAACATTGTGGAATTACCTTGACTTTGTTTCCTTGCTGGATTACTTCTGACTTTGGTCTTCCTTGCTGGATTACTTCTGACTTTGGTCTTCCTTGCTGGATTACATCAAGCTCAAGGACATTTGAAGGTCTAAGTTCACGGTTGGAATTCATCCCCATGGACAGGTGATGATTTCCAAAGGGGGGACTGTAGTGAACCTGGTCTGACCCTGATCTGACCCTGATGACCTCAAATCTATCAGATGGACAGAGACTGTTATTTTCATTGATCTGAATACAGTCTGAGCCATCTGGTGACTTTCTTTCTTGAATTAATCAAGCAGAAAAGACAATTTTATAATCATTTACTGTTTTACAAATGTTTGATAATCAAATTGTGTTAGTTCCATTCAATGCTTACAGGTTGGAAAGAACTACTCATTTTTATTTTACATAAACAGTAAGTAATGATTTTTATTCCTCATTTAAAGAAGAAATCAGGTTAATATGCATTTCTTGATTCTCTGTCTGAAATGAGCCAAGCAATGTAAGTATGTGAAAGGTCGAGTTTCGGTCAACTAAAATGTTTACCGAGAAAGATGTCATGTTTAAACTTTTGCAGAAGATTACCAAGCGTGAGACTCCACGAAGTCTGGTCGTCTGCAATAATCTTTTCTGTATGTTGAAAACAATCCTTGACTTATGATAACATCTTACATCACAAAAACACACCTCTTTCTGGTCCATCGACCAATCAAAAGCTCTCAAATGAACCGGAAGTCGACCCAGTTTAAATGTGGCAACTTCCCAGTTCATGTTAGAATTGAGAAGGGAAGAGAATTCAGAAGAATTCCGGAGGATTCGAGAGTACAGAGTTGCTGACAATTAAGAGTCTGAAAGTTCTGAAGAATGAAAGGAGTTCAGTATTCTTGGGTGCAAACGCATTCAAGATGGTCCAGAGACGTTTTGGAATTATAACTTCTGTTTGAACAAACCACACACGACTATCTAAGGATTTCAGCCGCTCTCAACGGAGACGCTGAAAGGTCTGGAGGATTCTCTATCGAGCTGATCTATCATCTACCAGGTAACGGTCTCTTCTTCGACTAAAGTGTACCGGAGGCGAGCTGAGATCTGATGAAGCGTGCACGTTCTGGTCAAACAGATTAATTCCCTCACATAGTTCTCTGTAAGATAAATCTCCATGTCATCTTAAAACTCTCCTCTTTCTCATAAAATCAGTACAGATATTTTAGAAATATCTGAAGCAAAGTCCTCGTTCACCGCCGAGTGATCGATGCTCATTTTCTGTGAAACTTGTCTGTTATTATTTTCATATTTTGCCAAATTAATGTAAATGTTTGATGTTAAACTTTGATTCTGAAAATAAATGACCGCATTCATTTTGATGGGTCAAAGATAAATGACGTCTCTCGTTACATTTCTGTTAAATTCAATGCACGACATTACACAGTCAGAAAGATGAGGAACTCGTGAATATTGTATCAATATATATCTCATATATTGTCATACTACAACTAGTGGCACGTACCCACGTGTTCACTACAACAGTGTGAATGTAAACAGACCGAGCCCCGCTCCACAGGGTAAACAAGCACGCATTTCTCTGACCTTATATGGAGCTGTCAGCTGCCTTGTGTGGAAAAACAATATTCTCCATGGTCTTCTGTCTCATCTTCTGCTCACGCTAAGTCCATTTTTGAAAAATGACAAAATATAACTCCTAAAACTGCTAAAACTTGATGCCACTTCATTTTTATTTTTATCTACAGAAGAAGAAGAAGTGTCTTCAGAGGTTTTTGTGTCGTTTCTTTCAATAGTTCTTGGTGCAGCGCCCCCACAGGCGAGCGGGGGAACAGGTTTGTTCAACAGGTTGACTCGACTGCACAGTGCAGTGTGAATGGAAACGCACCAGCTCAAATGTAACAAAAGGTCATGAATATTGGTACCGAACCGAGTCTACCGGACTATCTGGTGTGAAAACGACCTAATTTCACCTTCAGATTATCTAATAATCCTAGAGGTTCACATACTTTTACCATCACAAATATGTAATATTGAATTCCTCAATAAATAAATGATCACGTTTAATATTTTGTCTCATTTGTTTAACTGGGTTCTCTTTATTTACTTTTAGGACTGCTGTGAACATCCGATGATGCTGATTTATGCAGATATCTAGAACATTTCAAAGGGTTCACAAACTTTCAAGCACCTTTATATTAATTTTTTAACTGTGCTTATAAAAGTAACATTTTCTGGTTAAAGATCCTTTGGAAAAAAAACTGTAAATAAAATATTGTCTTTTTTATTTATTGTGCCATTCATTAAATTATGGTGACCACTGATGGTTTTCTGTCCTCCTTTTGTTTCTCTTTAATCACCCCACTGGTTCTCAGTATCTCGACAGAATAGGACAGCTTTTCTTTGGCGTTCCACCCAAACAGTCTCCATCATATGGTGGTCTGCTAGGTGAGTTGAACAACGCTGTTTTATCAGAAAATGATTGTTTCTTATTATTATTTTATTCTTTTTTTTTAAGTTTGTACTGTAGACTGACTCAACTCGGTGTTTAAAGCAGCTGAATATTTTTAAGTGTTTGGAAAGGTTTTAAATAATTACTATTTTACCTTCTAGATAATGTGTAGAACAACTTTGAATCTGGAGAAATTGAGTTTAATTCTGACAAGACTTACAAGTTTCTTGCTAGTTTCAATGGGACCAAGACAAAAGTGGATTGCTGCCATCTTCAAACAACTTCAGTCTCTATTTTTTATTTGTGGTTTGAACAATAGTTCCAATTGAATCTGTCCATCTTTGGATAAAGCTCACGCTGCCTCTTCCCTCACGCTGAACCCCCCCCTCCCCCCGCACTAGAAAACTGCCTGTACAATCTACAAAAATCACGGACTAGATGCGTTACCCCCCATGGCAAGTTATCTTGGGGTAAACACTGAAGTGCCTTATTTTAATCCAGCCGGGTGGTGACAAACGCACCAATTATTGTCTCAAAATGTCTTGTAGCTAATATTAAACCGCTACACTTGTGCTTGTTACTGTTTAGTTAGTCAGTGTTTAAATTTGATTAGCTCATGTCACACCAGTCCACTGGGAGTAAACTGATGAGACACTTTAATCTGACAGATTGACACATTTCAGTGTGGTTATCTTAGCACCATGGTCCAGTTAGCAACATGGTACTGTTAGCAGTGGTTTGGTTAGCGGCATGATACTGTTAGCAGGTCCCGTCAGCACCCCGATGGTAACAAGGACCGCAGCAGCTGCCCTCCCAGACAGCCCTCCAGAACCGGATCCGGCAGACAGAGAACATCCAAGTTTCTCCGTGGAACCGAATGGACCCATAGAGTTTGGTCCATGCAGGCAGATGGAGGATCATGGAGACGGCCACCATGACAGGCTGGTGCCTGAGGCTGGAGGGGGGTCGGGAAGTGAAACACGATGGCAAGGCAGACACAGAAAACTCCAAAAGTGTGTCACGGTCATACCCGGAACAAAAAAAGATGGAGTCGGAAACGGAGCTCCCATCAGTGCGACCATGCTGCGGTGCTCGTGCCCTCCTTCATTCTGCTCCATTCTTTATGACTTATTTTATTTCAGCTGCTCCTTCTTCAGGGGTCACCACAGCAAACTAACTTGCACGAAAATTTGGTGATTATTTTTATGCCGGGTCCCCTTCCCAACACAATCACAGACCACTGAGCCACCACAGTCCTCTGTGTGGTGCAGAGAGCTGCTGTCTACAGCGCCCAGGGGAGCAGATGGTGGGGGTTAAGGGCATTGCTCAAGGGCTCAGAGTGGAGCAAATGAGGGTGGAAGCAGGTGTGGGCACTTCACCTTTCCCACCCACATTTTGATGATGTCGGGACCAGGAGTTGAATCACAGGCCCACCTTCTCTAACCTCTGCACCACTGCTCCATCCTGATTTCATAGCTGATCAGGCAACTGTGCACCAGAACATCACTTCAGAAGAGTCAGACTTGCCTGTTAGTGATTTTTAATCATCGTAGTTAGAATTTGCATTCTGTAGCTTACTCGTCTCAAAAACAGATTTAAAACGTAACATCCAACAGGAAATGCTCTGACTGCACTTCCTGTGAAGTCGAACTCGCTGCCAGGAGTTAGAGAGGTGACTGTATGAACAGCCTGGTTGTTATAAAGATAACATCGCTGTTTTCTCTGGCAGGGAATTTGCTGAACAGCCTGATGGGCTCTGGTGAGGAGGAGGATGGTGCTGAGGAGGTCCAGGAGGACAGCAGCCCCATAGAACTGGACTGAGCCTGCAGAACACAACAAGAACAAACCCACATGGAGGAAGACCACCCTGCCTCCCTCCTCCCCCTCAGTAACTGGGGTCGGGGCACGGCGCTGCTCCTCGTTCCAGAGTTGGGCTGTTTGACAAGTCCAGTTCAGTAAAACAGACAAGCATCATTCCTCCCAACACCCCCCCCCCCCCAAAAAAAAAAAATCTGGACAGACTGCGACACAAATGGCCTCTGCTCATGTTGAACTGTTGTAAGAATATTTGATTTTATCTTCACGTCACCTTTTCTAGTTTGAACTCTTGCTTGTTGTTTAGGGGTGTGTGCTCTGCACATGAAATGTTCTGTGTGAAAACCTGCTTCAAAAACATGGCAGTGACCTGAGCGTGTCTGTGGGGGAGGGGGGCATCTAAAGAGCAACAGCCCCAGTTTCTAATAAAGCTTTAGTCAGCTCACTCGAGTCCTGAAGTTTTCTGTTTGTCACTCGGATCAGAGCCTCGCTGTAGCTGCTGCTGCCATTTTCAACCGTCTGTTCGTCTCTTGTCACAGTTAAAATGTGCTTGTAGCCGAGGCCTCGTCAGCCTCTGCATCATGGACATGAAGATGTTTTGTCCCAGAAACGTTTGTGTTGCAGATTTCCTGTTTATTACAGTAAATGTGGAACAGAGCATCATCTTTGTCCTAGATACAAAATTCTTCTATAAACACTGTGAATTAAGTCAAAAAGTAAAAAAAAAATCACTAAAACTTCTGATGTGAGTTTGTAATTTATCTAACCCTTCTGTCAGATCAGTGCAGCCTGTGTGATACTGAACATTCACAGGAGAGAACTGTACATCACAGAACGGTTCAGTCAGCTCAGCTGGACCGATTCTTTTTGGAAGCAACACTTCGTCTTTCATCTGAAAGAATCCATCCAGCTGACCTGACTGAACCGTTCTGTGATTTATCTATTTACCTGGATGATTTTACTCTTTCTGTTTACATCATTTTGTTTTTAAACTTATTTTTGTGCTTCAAATAATATTTGATAAGTTCAGGCAGTCAACTGTTTAACTTTTGCCCATTTTATTTTTTCAAGACCCAAACTACTGTTTCCTTTAAAAAAGAAGTAGGCTCAGTATTTGAATCCATGGTTCAGATGTTTTAAAGTGGTCTTCTGTGGTCAGGCTTTGTTACTAGTTGTACAGAGTCCTTCAAACCTTGTTGGAGAATGGTTGACTGCTCCGGATCTGGGAAAAACATGACTCTTTTCAAGTGTGTTCATTTATTCTAAGAGGAAAACATAAAACTAGTTGATCATATTCAAGTAAATGTATTTGACATCGGAGAAATTTTAATTCATGTACACACAGATGTTTCTGTTCAGGAAACCCACAGCTCAGATGTAACTTTCCAGAAAGAATTGCTGGTAAAGAGAAATATGAAAATATGAAATGATCTGAGTCCAAAGTTGAAAAGTTTCAGCGGTTTTACCCCCCCCCCCCTCCTGTTGATGCACAGACTTGGGCACATTGGTCTTCATCAGGAGATGACAGTGTCTGTAAGGGAAATGAAAACATCTGCTCCTTCTGTTTCCATCACATCCATCATCTTTACTCGCTTCTTTGATTTTGGGTCATGGGGGTCACGTGTCCATGTCCAGCAGTCACTGTGCGAGAGGCAGGGGACACCCTGGACAGGTCTCCAGTCCATCACAGACAAACAACCATTAAGTATCTCACTCTCACCTAGGGACAATTTAGAGTTACCAATCAGCCTAACATGAATGTTTTTGGTCTGTGGGAGGAAACTGGAGAAAACTCACACATGCACGAAGAGAACATGTAAACTCCACCCAGAAAGGCCCCCGGCTGGGATTCAACAGCAACCTTCTGGCAGAGAGGTGGCAGCCCTATCAGCTGATCCACCGTGCTCGATTCCACCAGATGGTTTGCTGGTTTCAGGAAGCTTCATGCTGGTGGCCTCGTCTCCTGTTAATTAAACTGATCTCATGTTTGTAGCCCAGAAGAAAAGATGTGGTGGGAAAACTTGGGAATGGCTTCACTGCTCCTTACTAGACAAAGAACTTTTTGTTTTACTAAAACAGCTGATAAAACAAGAAACACTTAATTTATACTCCGAGTTTATCATTTTAATTAAATAACTTAACATCCTAAGTTTCCAATCTATTTATTAGTAATAGGTACAACTCAAAATACAAGATGCATGTTGCTCAACAACCAGGCTGCCATTAGGAAGAAAAGTGTTTTTAAATTAATTTTATTAATTCAAACACACTAACATCACAGAACAAGGTTCAGTCAGCTCATCTGGACAGATTCTTCACGGGAGAAATGTTTCATCTGAAAGACTTCATCAGTCTGAGGCCTGCCAACAGCATGTGTCATAAATAGCTCCTTGTTGACGTGTTTCAGACCAGTCTGCTGTGGAGTTCACAGAAACTGACTTTACACATGCAAAAAAAGACTATCTGTGTTAAATGTAAAAAAACAACAACATCTGATTGTTCTGCATGATGATTGTTTTGGACAGATGGGCCTCCAGTTTGTATGTGTAAAGTCAGACTGGTCTGAAACACGTCAACAAGGAACTGTATGACATGCTGTTGGCAGGCGTCAGACTGATGAAGTCTTTCAGATGAAACATTTCTCCTGTGAAGAATCTGTCCTGATGACCTGACTGAACCTTGTTCTGTGATTTATTTTCACAAACTGATCAATGATTGAGCTTCCAAACTGTTTTCTGAACAGCAGCAACAGGTTTTCTTAAGAGACAGACTAAATATAGGTAGACCTGTTGGTTGGCAGCAGATATCTGTAATCTGGTTTTAACGAGACAAGTTTAGATTATTTAAGTCGCTATCGCCACTTTTTATGTGAGAGGCAGCCGCTGGACTTTGAGGTTTGGATAGGGATTTAATGCAACTTCAGGAGGGTTCCCTTTTCATTTGGAATTTAAAACGGTTACGTACTGTAACCCCAGATTCTATGAGTATAGGTGTAGCCCTTTAAGAGCCGTCACTTAGTGGGTTTATCCCGTCATGCAAAGCATTGCACTGAAAAATTTAGTCCACGCCCACCTGCTGTGTGGGCCCCACCCGGTCCGTATAAATTACGTTAAGAGCGGGTAATCAGCTCCCAAATAGCTTTTTCTTCAGCCATTTAGGAGCCAGTAAGGCTCCTAAATGGCTAAAGGGCTACGGCTATACTCATAGAATCTGGGGTTACAGTACGTAACCAACATTCTATTTCGTATAGTGGGTTAAGGGCGACGCAGATGTGGTCCTCGCCTCACTGGGTCCATTCGAACACCATACGAAGCGGCAGCTTGCCGAAAAAACGTCGTCACTCAGCTCTCCGTGTGTAATTACATGTTGCGTAATTATGCGTACCATGCACAGACGCATGCTGTGCAGTTATGCATTCTGAGTGCATAAACGCCCCGGAAACTTTCAGCGGGGAAAAGAAGATGCTAAAAAGGGGCCATGAATCAACAGATTCACGGCTGAACAATATGAACAGATTAATAATAGCAAGTGAGCTGATTATTAATCAAATGAACTGATTAGTAGCAATAGTCATGAACTGATTAATGACAATAGAACCAAAATAACAGTCACAACTTGTGGCTGATAACATCATCTCACACTGTAATACATGCAGTCAGATGTGAGTTTAAACGGGGTTCCCTGAAACAACAATATTTATTCTGTTAAAACACTAAGGACAGAATGTGTCATGGAACGAGCCGTCACACCACATGGATAGAAGCAAATAAATGAGCAGGGTGTTGCCCACACGGCCGCAGTGCAAATATCATGCATTGTCATACCATTATGCAGAGCAGTCTAAGATGCGATACCTCTGGCCGAGTGCGCCCTGAAGTTATCAGGAGGCTCTAAATCCGATGTTCTGTAGGCTTCAGAAATGGCCTCACACAGCCAGTGTGACAGGCGCTGGGTGGATAACAGGCGACCTGCAGATGCATCTCTATAATGTACAAACAAATGTTGAGTTTGACGCATTGCAGCTGTGCGCGCTATGTAACATGTCAACGCCCGCACAGGACAGAGCAGATGGAAAGATGTTTCTTCTTCTGATTTGTGGGGGGGAGGGAAAAAAACCCTCCAACGACATCACTCTTGATTTAAAAGAGCTCGTGATGTTTTAGGCATAAAAGCTGGATTCGGTCTTAGATCAGCTGAGCTGCCATCAGCCTGAATTCTAAGACATGACGGAGCAACAGGGAGGACAGATAAATCACTCACCCTCTTAGCGGATGTTAAAGCCAGCAGCAGGGCTGTTATAAGAGACAAGAATTTAATTGGAACCTGATTCAGTGGCTCGAGTGGAGCTTTGATCAGGGCCCGCAGGACCAGCGTTAAATCCCACTGTGGAACAAGTGGGTGTGAAAACAGGCCTGCGTCGCTGTACACCTTTTAAAAAAATGCTTAATCAGCGGATGATAAAAAGCTGTTCTGTCTCCAAACCCTTCGTGACAAGAAGAGATGGCTGCAGCATACATTTAACTGTGCTGAATGCCAAATTTCTGTCCATCAGCTGCTGCAGAAAGGACAGCACGCCGCCTAGTGGACATGAGGTGGCCTCTACACCTTTCTCTGTACACCAGCGCTGAAAAGCTGTCCACTTTGAAGTGTACAGCGCTGTGGTGGATGAAACACATGAATCCTGGATTGTGCGCACTACATCTTGTGGGAGACCCATCCTCTAAGCGGATCTGCTCAGCGGTCAGACCCACAGGTGCTGGCCTATTTCTGGGTAACTCCTGATCGCTCCTCCTACCTGGAGGAGAGCGTCCTCCCTCCACGGCAGTTTCTACGGGTGCCCCGATAACAGGCGTCGTAGAACCGGGAACCATGGTGCATTCAAGCGCTCGGGAGCCACCAGGTGAGCTGTCAATCCCTCCTCCTGAACTCGGTTCAGAAAGCATAATATCAGAGGAGGTGGGGGGAACGCTTAAAGAAGCGTTTTGGGCCATGGGCTGTGAGCAAACGCGTCCACCCCCAGCGGTGGTTCGTCTCGCGGGCTCATTGAAAACCATAGTTGACACTGAGCGTTTTCTCGTGTCGCAAACAGGTCCACGGCCGCTTGCCAAATTTCTGCCACGTCTGGGCCATCAGACCGAGGTGGAGGAAATAACGTGAGCAAAAAACCTGTGTTTTCCTCTCCGTCGGGAACCCCTGGACTTCTGCCTTTAGGGATGAGACCTGGTCTGGTGAGGACAGGACCGTTTCTAAAACCTCCTAACGGAGGGGGTCGGGCTGCAAATTGCAGCGTGTAAGCCCTGCTTAACAGCCTGGTCATCCATCTGTCTGGCGAGCATGTTCGTAGCCACTCCGCTTAACATTTGTGGAGTGGGCACGCGTTTAGGTGATGCATCATGTTTTTACGGATGTCAGCCAGTCTACCGCCTCGACCACTGTCATGTGCCGCAGAAGTGTGTTCCGTGTGACCCAAGGCGAGGCTTCCTCAAAAGAGCTCTGAGTGTGCCTCTGTGCTGCGCTCATGCTGCGGGTCCACATTCATGTCTATGTGGGCGTGTTAAAACTGTTGGCGCCGCAGGAGCGCGCGTTTGACACCACTGCGGTGAGACGCGTGTCACTTCTGCCAAGAGCGAGGTCCTTCACTGGGCTCACTCTGCGGTCTCACATTTATGCTGACGTGAGCGGGCGAGTGCTGAGAAGCGGTGAGCGCGCCTTCATCAACGCTGTGCCGTTTGAGTGAAGGCTGCAAGCGCCGCGGAAACACGCGTTTGATTCGGTGGGATACGCGCCGCTCCTGTTGAGAGTGCGGTTCGTCACCGGGCTCGTTCTGCGGTCTCACATTTATGTTGATGCGAGCTGGTGAACGCTGGGGAGCTGTGTGCGCGCCTTCATCAACGCAGCGCCGTTTGGGTGAAGGCTGCTCAAGTTGCGGGAGTGCGCGTTGACACCGCTTCGATGAGGAGTGTGCAGCTCGGGCTGAAAACGAGTTATTCCACTGAAATCGTTTTGCGGACCACATTCGCTTACAACTGTTGTGTCATGCGAGCGTCTCGCCTTGTTTTGGAGCAACGGTGATTCTGAAAAACCTTTTTTAAAGGCCACCGGCTCTTTTTGTGTGGAGGATGTGTGAGGAGCCGCTGTGAGGTCATCCGAGCTGACAGACCGGCTAAAAAACAGACACTTTCATCATTAAATGATGTTTTATTCCAAAAACTCATGTCATCTTTACACACATCCTCCGCAAACCGTCATTTTGAATCATCTCCCCCTTGAGCTTTGCGGTTTGTTGTCCTAGGGCACCGCTTGTTGGCAATCACAGGGAAACGCTGAACCTCCCTTTGCTGGGATGAGAAAGGCTGATGTCTGACGGGCGGGGCTGGCGTAGCGGAGCAAGGAGACGCTGTGCAGCTGTGGAACGTCTTGAAAATGGTTCTGAACAGTGCGTCCGTCATTGATGGGGGGCCCTCCAACAAAAAAACCCAAACAACTTTCTGTAGCTCCTCTGAGAGGGAGGTGGAGTGACGGGCCAGGTGGACCTCTGGAAAAACCTCGTCCTCCGGCTGCGATGCGAGACCGGCAGACAACAAAAGAGGCGCAGAGGTTGAGGATGACGTCAGCTGCCTTGCAGAGGGAGTGCTACGTCTCCTCCAGCCTCTTGAACATTGTGCGCCAGCAGCGTAACGTACTGTTCGCTGCGGCCGCCTGGAACGTACACTGGTGAGCTCGGTTGGAGAGCGACGTCACCGTCTGGTTATGCTTATCCGGAGGCGCAGGACGCTTGTCCAACCTGGACATCTTTGCTCCGAAAGCCTCCACCAGGCTCGGCTCAATGGGGGCACTGAGGGAATTTCTGCTCGGTGAACCCCTCCACTCTGGTGATGGGCGCGAATGTGGGAACCGGCGCCCTTATTCTACCAGGAACCGGCTGCAGCCTCGTCCCAGTAGGACATCACTGCTGGGAAACGAGGCCAGATGGGATCAGGACGGCGAGCCGGAATGGAACCCAGAAACCTTCCCGCTAGATCTTCCGATCTGGGTGGGGGAAGGAGAGGGACGAAAAAAGTCCCTTCATGTCAACCGCCTCCTGGATTATGCCAGGCAGCTCCAGAGGAGGGCACCGAGGCTGGAAGCGGTGTGGTTGCCGATGCAAAAAAAAAAAAAAGGGTCGGGGGGGGGGGGGGCATTCGCTCAGCCCCCCTCGTTCCGACACTACGCTCTCCAGGAGGGAGTGAGCAGCAGGGGGCTGCTGCTGACGTCGCCTGTCCCGAAGGAACCATCCGATTCGCTCCAAGAGTCGGCGATAAAGGAAAATAACAAGATGGCGTCGTCCAGCGTGTAGCGACCTGCCACTGAGAAATACTCCTCTTACGCTTGCGCTTACCTTGAAACAAGACTGCTCGTCTGCTTCTCCTCGGGGAGGAACTCACCGGGACGGCTGGAGGTTGACGTGGCGGGGCCACAGGCAGTCTTAACAAAGGTTGGTCAAGCTAGACAACTTTCCTTCTTCGTTCTTCTGACAGTACTATTAGCTTGCTGAAGAAAAATGGGAGCCGATTACCCGCTCTTAACGTAATTTATACGGACCGGGTGGGGCCCACACAGCAGGTGGGCGTGGACTAAATTTTTCAGTGCAATTCTTCGCATGACGGGATAAATCCACTAAGCGACAGCTCTTAAAGGGCGAAGCCTATACGAAATAGAACTAATTTTCCAGTACAAATGAAAATAATGCTGTGAAATCATTGAAAACAACAAACTTGATTTGAACTTTTTATTGAAAAAATTACCTTGAAAGAAAAAGATTGTTTATAATTCAGTGTTAATTTTTTTTCTTTAAAATGTTTCACTTTGTGTGTTAGATGAACAGAAAAAATACTTGTGTGTATTTATGAGTGTTCTGCTGCAGGAAACATGTTTCTAGACCAAACTGGGACAAACACAGAACAAACACTTTACAAACAGTTGATGAAGTCAGGCTCAGTCTGCCAACTCGTTTCATCACCAAACATTAAAGAGAAGTTTGTTTTTGTCACATTTTACAGAAACTGGACCCATTGATCCGTTTTTGTTGAGCAGCAGGTTTTGATTTAGAAAGGCTGGATAAAGTGTTAACGTGATGCTCAACCTAAAGGCTGCTTAGTTTGGACAACTGAACTGGAGGCTTTTGTATTTCCACATCTTAATACAATAAACTCCAGCTGGAAAAAGTTCAACAATATTGTGCTTCTTGAAAACAAACCCAGAGGATCTGACTGACAGGAAAACACCTTGAGCAATCTGAGGAGTGTTTGCTTCATACAATATTCAAAGTGTCTTCAAGCTCCTTCTTTGTTTTTCGTGCAATTCTTCTGAGAATTTCCTTGAACAGCGTTGGAGTCTCTGTGGTTCAGGTGCGAGACTGCAGAGCGAGTCGTTGGACTGTATCTGACAGGTGAACCATGTCGGGCAGCTGAGCTTGAAGTTTGATGTGCTCCAGAGTCTGAACCTGGTGAGGGACAACACAAGTCAGAACAAATGGTGGAAGATCTGATCTGGTCCAGATCCAGGGATCTTTGTGAACTGAGCTGCTGGGAGAGTCTGTAAAACTCACAGAGACCCGGGTCTCACAGTGCCCATGTTTGTGGCTGAGGTTCCACAGGTTGATGGCCAGTTGACTCAGCTTGTTGTTCCTCAGATCACTGTGAGCCAACAGGATGCTGAACAGGGAGAAGGCCAGGGCGCTCTGACGTCGGAGGCTTTGCTGCAAGAGATCAGACATGTGTCGGTGCTGAACTGGACTTCTTGCCCTCATACAGTGCTGTGAAAATGTTCTCATACTGATAAAGAAGAAACACTGAGTATTGTTAAAAGTCTTGCAGATAACAGATCAAAGACTGGATGGACATGGACATGATGCTTGTAAAGGATATAATGAGTTATGTTATTGAACCATTTACATATATATGTAATTTATAATTTTCAACAGGAACATTTCCAGAAAATATGAAAATAGCAAAGATAGTTCCTCTTTATAAGAATGGTGAGAAATGTGTGTTCAATAATTATAGACCAATATCTTTGTTGCCACAATTTTCAAAAATATTAGAGAAATTATTTGTAACCAGATTAGATCTATTTATAGATAAACATAATATTCTGAGTATGGGTTTAGAGCAAATAATTCAACATCAATGGCTCTCATGGAACTAATAGAAGAGATAACAAATGCTGTTGATCTAAAACAATATTGTGTTAGTGTTTTTGTTGATTTAAAAAGGCCTTTGAAACTATTGACCACAACATTCTCCTTGAAAAACTGAATAAATATGGCTTTAGAGGATTAGCACTACAGTGGGTATCTAGTTATTTGAACAATAGGAGACAGTTAGTACAGGTAAATGATGTAAGATCTGAGTTTTGTGTTAATGGATGTGGAATTCCTCAGGGTTCTGTGCTGGGACTAAAGTTGTTTGATTCTAGTTATTTTATATATTTTTTAAATATTTTCTTCTTTCTGCACTCTTCAAAGCATTCAATGTTTTTTTTTTAAATTAATGAATAAATTAATAAACAAATAAAAATATTTGCCCCCTTGCAGATTTCTTGTGTTTCTGCTTTTTTTGTTAACACTTCACACATTTTATTTCTGGGGCAGCTCTGCTGCTACAGGACCTGCACAACGTGCTGTAATCAGTGGAATCATGAATGCTGCTCTCTACCAGAAAATCCTGAAGGAGAATGTCCGTCAGTTCAAGAGCACTTGGGTTCTGATCTGAAGCACGGCAACAGCGTTTCTCCAGAGCCATGAAAGACTCAACACCAGTCCTCGCAAACACTGCCAGAGTGGCACGACCAGGAGATTAACTTTGATGTAATACTTATTTGGTGATTTGAAACAATTTAATATGATCAAAACAAATCTGTAGGAAGGTTAATACTTTTAACAACACTGTAAATAAGTCAATTTGGACAAGACAGGAACAGCAACAACACAAAACCACTGAACCCAATAAGGCAGCCTGACCTCGTCCCGAGTGAGCGTCTTCAGATGGTCCAGAATCTGTCCAATCAGAGTCTCGCACAGTTTGTTGATCTCTGACAGAAACTTTGGGTCCCCCCCATATAATGTCTCATTGGAGTCCACTAGGACACAAAAACAAACTATTATTCTACAAACAGAAACTTTGCTGTAACGTGATCCACATGGTTATAGTTCATCAAACTGCATTCAGTCCAGATCACATTCCAGTGTCCTTACTGTGTATCCTGGTGAGGTGGATGAGTGAGTTAACTTCTCGCTTATTTATGGCATGCAGCTCAATGTTATTCATGTAAATGAGGCGACTGATGACTTTGAAACCTGGATCTATAGCTGAGTGGTTCAGGCCCATGAAGGATAGCGGTAGGGACAGATCATCTTAGTATATGCCACACTTGATGCTGACTTGTACGACTGTCTTTGAATTAGCCTCTTGAGCTGTCTTTCCAACAGAGTTCTGAATGAAGACTTTAAGTGTCTTGTTGTACAGTTTAGTGAACAGACTGCAAAGATGTTCCTTAGACACTTCAGCACATACGTAATAGCAGGCTGTAAGATCCAGGCAGGCAAGGTATCCATGTGTAGAGATATACCTGCATCCCTGACTGCCATTGTTATAACATTCATTTATTTTTTAATATATTGGAACTGAGGGAGTTCATTCTGTGAAGATGTCCCTTAACGAAAAAAGAAAAACACTCCCCTCTCCCCTAAAGAAAGAACAACTGAGACATTATTCCCCAATCTCAGACCTGGGACAGTTTAAATCTTTTCTCAGCAACTCCCAAGTCTGGACAATGTCTAAGAGAGACTTTTACTGTTTGCAAACCATAAAATGACCGATAAATCTGATAATATCTAAGAAGCCCTTTCTGTGAACCCAAAAATGGCCATTTTGAGTTTAAACAGAAATCCCAAGAAAGTTTCTGGTAACACATGGTACCAAGATTGAATTGAGCCATGTCTCTCTTGTCATAAATCTCAGGATGATAAGGAAAGAGCTTGTCGGTGTTTAAAATAATTCCTTTCTGACACCCACGGTCTCCTTTTCTCCATTCAGAAAACCGACAGAGACTTTTATTCACATTATGGAAAATTAATACTGTTTTCTGTGGTGAAATGATTGCTTGCTAGGAATAACTAATAACTTGCCTTGTTGCTTCTCTTACAGCTGAAAGGAATATATATAGTCAAAAGATGGCAAACGTTTTAATGCAAAAACAACAAAAGTGTTTTTATTGGTTTAATCTCACTTAAAGATGATATAAGTGTTTTACATTTCTTTTATTTGAGGACTTTTCATCAGAGTGAATTAAAAGTAATGCTTTATTTAGTTGATAAAAGTTAAGCAAATTTAAGTATAAAGTCCAGCCCTTTCTATTCTGATTGGTCCAAAACAACCATGCCCCTCAGGTGTGGGCAGTGGTTGAAAGTTGCAGTCTGAGGGAGACCCTCAGAAGTGAGTGAGACGTCAAGAAGTCGACAGACGACAGAGGAGGAAGGAGGAAGCATTTAGAAGGTAAACAACCTACTAATACAAAGCTTCAAGAAAGAAAATATAAGTTTCAACTGTCGTAAAGTTTTGAGAGAACCCTCTTCAGCGTTCCAAACACCTGCCATTTCATCACCAGAGCTAATGACAGCTTTCTAGAACTCCAGAAGTGTCATCTTTGAAGGCTGACCACTTGGAGCCAGTGACCAGACTCTTGATGCCCAGGGACGTGAAAGGAATTTCCATCTTTGACGTCACCAAACCATCTCAGCAGAAAGGGTCCCACATCTGGTCTCTGCAGGATCCGTTCGGATCAGACTCCTGGTAGGAAAAGCTGATCTGTTATTCTGGAAAGTTGATTCTGGTGTCCAAGAATTTAAATTTCAATCAAATTACTATTAACTCAGTTCAGTAATTAATTTTCCCTTAAATTTATGACCAAAATTTTAACCACTGGAAGAGGTGTAAACAAAGCGTCTCCCTCTTAGTTACATTTGCATAGTTAATTTGCCTTGCTGAAAGTGTCAGAATATTACATTTAACTTTATTCCATCTTGTTTTGGTTTGGGTAATCACATCGAATAAGTTCATTTTATCTGCTAATTTCTGTTAACAAGTAATTTTAAAAGTCAAGTTAATTTCTAGAACTCTGGTTGTTAGACTAAGCCATCATTTAAATGTAAGCACTAATTTCCAACAGTTATCTGTCCAGATATAGCTAAATAAACAATCACAAAACTGTATACTGAAGTGCATGCGTTTTATTTATGACATATGAATCTTTCATATAAAACAACTCACTGTAAAAATGGTAATTCGAGGTAATTTAAAATAATAACATCTGAAGTGATGTTCAGACCTTTTCTTTTTCTCTCAAAGCTGAGTGGTGCCACTTCAAAATAAAATTCATAACAATTTTTTAATCATTATTAACCCTTTCCGCTACACGTGGAACACCAAAACCAAGAGACTAGAATAATATACTGGAACATTGTACCGAGTATGGACTAGAGGTCCCACAGTCAAAGTGGGAAATCCCACCAAGGGTGGTGGAGAATGGCAAGACTAAGATACTGTGGGACTTCCAGATCCAGAATGACAAACAGGTGATGGCTAACCAGCCAGATATTGTGGTGGTCGACAAGCTAGAGAAGAAGGCAGTGGTGACGTAGCAACCCCAAGTGACTGTAACATCAGGAAGAAAAAGCAGCTGGAGAAATATCAAGAAAGAGGAAATAGCTAATTTATGGAGAGTCATGTCCTCAGTGGTGTCTGTGGTCATAGAACTCGGCCATTCACCTTGGACTTTATGCACACTCGTCTACCGCCCACCTCGGTCTAAGGATTTCATAAATGAGTTTTCTGATTTTTTTGGCTGAAATCACACCAAAATATAATCATGTTTTCATTATTGGGGACTTTAATTTGCATGTGTGCTGTCAGGAGAAGCCCTTGGTTAAGGACTTTTTAGATCTATTGGACTCATTTAATCTAACTCGGCATGTAAACGGTCCCACCCAAGAGCGCGGACATACACTGGACCTTGTTTTAACTCGAGATGCGACTGTTAGTAATCTTGAAATTGATGATAATGTTTTTTCAGACCACATGCCAGTCCAGTTTGAGTTCATCCTCCTGCCTGGAGGAGAGCATCTTCCCTCCACGGCAGTTTCCACGGACGACCCGAGGAGCTTTCTCAATTCAATGAGCAGTGAGTGCACTCACTGCTCGATGAATCGAGAAAGCTCCTCGGATGAGGAGCGAAACCTCTTCTGTTACAAATAAAGTCCAGTTGTTTTTGTATTGAACACTTTTTGAATTATGCAGCAAGGGAGTGAAATGTTGAATCACATTCAAAACCGTGCGACATTCAAAAACATTTATGCGAGCTGATGTGTGAGCTGGCCACAGCGCCCCCACCACTTGTGACAGGTACGTTCCTCCCCAACCTGACAGGGACACGTCTGTGAAAACTGAGACGTGTGACGTAGGTCTGCTGACAGGGACTCCCTCCGACAGCGTGAGAGGATTTCCCCAATGTTTCAGGTCAGTTCCCACGGAGGGGGGCACAGAAATCCTCCGCCTCTTCTGCCTTACCGGGTCTATGCGCAGACGAGCGAACCATCTCTGGAGACGTCTCATGTGAAGTAGGCCCAGCGGGACCACCACGTGAACTGATCTCATTGTTCCTAACAGTTTCATGATGGAGACAGCTGTCACTACTCTGCCGGATTTTACGTGGCAGAGCTGGTTTTATAGAGCTTCAGCTCTCGTTTGTGATAAACGGGCCCTCATAGTGACAGAGTTTAGCTCCACTCCCAGATAAACGATCATCTGGGCCGGGAGAATCGAGCTCTTCTCCCAGTTTATGGCGAAGCCGAGATTTAACAGGTGTGACATCAGCTTTTTAGTTTGCGCCGTTGCTTCCTGCCTGGATCGGGTCAGCAACAGCAGATTGTCCAGGTAAAACAGAATTCTCATCCCTGATCTGTCTAGCGGCTGCAGGGCCGTCTCCACGAATTTTGAAAACGTGCATGATGCGAGGGAGTAACTGTTGTACTGGTACTGAATCCCTTGGAAGGAGAAGCGCAAGAACTTTCTGTGCTTTGGAATGATTGGAATGTGAAAATAAGCGTCTTTGAGATAGATGGAGGTAAACCAGTCGTTCTGGTGAATGTTGTTCAACAGCTGTCTGGTTGTCAACATGTGAAACTGTCTCTCCAAAATCGATTTGTTGAAAACGGATAAATCTAAGATGGTTCTCATCCCACCGGTCCGTTTCGGAACCAGGAAGTAACGTGAGTAAAACCCTGTGTTTTCCTCTCCGTTGGGAACCCTGGAAATTAAATTTTTTAACAGTAGTTCCTGAACTTCTGCATGAAGAGATGAGATCTGTTCTGAAGATGACAGAACCGTCTCTATAATACCTCTGAACGGTGGGGGTTGAGCTGCGAACTGCAGCGTGTAACCATTGCTGATAAGAAGGTTCATCCAGTTGTTCAGGGAGCACGCTCGCTGCCACTCCGCGTACCGCTCTGGGAGCGGGCACGCGTTTTTGTGTTGTGCGATGTCTTTTATAGACGCCAGCCAAGTCAAAGCCTCTGTGCCGCTGTCGGGCTGCGGGCCCTCAGCAATGCGACGTCGCTTGGGTGGGGGCTATCGCCACCGCGGGGACACGTGTTTGTCTCCACTGCGGTCAGAAGGGGCAGAATACACCCTGGGTTGAGAGCGAGATTTTCGCCTGGACTCGGTCTGCTGAAAACATTCATTTTTTGCTGTGTGTGTGTTTTCTTGAGCTGCAGTGACTTTTTAAAAACCTGTTTGAGGACACCGGCTCGTTTTGTGTGGAGGATGTGTGCAGAGAAGCCGCTGTGAGATCATTCGAACTGACAGTCGGGCTGAAATCAGACACTTTATTCACTGAATGATGTTTTCGTTTTATTTCAAAACTCAAATCATTATACACACACACATCCTCCGCAAGGAGTCATTTCTTAAATCTTCTCCCCCGTGAGCCCTGCGGCTGGTTGTTCCAGGGCGGCGCCTGTTGGCGGTCTCTGGGGAGACGCTGAGCCGCTGGTCGCCGAGATGAGAAGGGCTGTTCTCTGGCGGGAGGGGCCGGCGGCGGAGCGGGGCAGGAGTATGCTGCTGCAGCTGTGGAGCGTCTCTGCTGCTGCCTGTGGTCACGACGACCCCTCCAGCGGATGGGGGGGCTGGAGGAGGAGTGCAGCTTCATCAGGTGGTGCACAATCTCAGACACCTCCTCCGACTTCTTCGATTTTTTGAGCATGGCCTTGAAATTGGCTCCGAAAAGCGCGTCCGTCGCGATGGGGCCCTCCAGCAGGTCTTTCTGCAGTTTCTCCGGTAGGGAGGGGGAGTGTCGGAGCCAGGTGGACCGCTGGATCATTGTCATCCAGGCAGCGATGCGAGACAGGCAGACAGCAGAGGAGGCGCACAGGTTGAGGATGACATCAGATGCCTTGCAGAGAGAGCTCTTTGTCTCCTCAGGCAAGTTTGTTTCCTCCAGCCTCTTTGAGATGCTGTAGGCCAGCAGAGCGACATTGTTGTTCGCTGCGGCCGCCTGGAACACACACTGGTGAGCTCGGTTGGAGAGTGACGTCACCGTCTGGTCGTGCTTCCCCAGAGGAACTGGACGCTGGTCCAACCTGGACACATTTGCTCCGAGAGTTTCCGCCAGGCTTGGCTCCGGGGAGGGGTACCAAGGGAAAATTCCGCTCAGTAAACCCCTCCACTCTGGTGATGGGCGCGAAGGTGGAGATGGGCGCTCTCAATTTACCAGGTCTGGCCGCAGCATTGTTCCAGTAGGATGTCACTGCTGGGAAACGAGGCCAGATGGGGTCAGGGCGGCGAGCCGGGGATGAGTCAAACTTCCCGCTAGATCAAAAGTCCCTTCGGAAAGTCCCTTCGTGTCAGCCGCCTCCTGGATTATGTCGGGCAGCTCCGAGAGGAGGGCACCAATGGCTGGGAGCGGTGTGGTCGCTGATGCGGAAAGGCCTGGGAGGGGTGAGCATCCGCTCGGCCCCTCCTGTTCCAAAACTACTCTCTCCGGGACAGAATGAGCAGCGGGGCTGCTGTTGATGTCGCCTGTCCCGGAGGAATCATCCGATTCGCTCCGAGACCCGGCATAAAAAAAATCAATGGCGTCGTCCAGCGAGCAGTCCCACGCCACGAATAGGCACTCCTCGATGTTAGCCTTAAACAAGGCTGCTTGCCTCTGCCTCTACTCGGGGGGGAGGCGGTCACAGAGGCGGCAGGAGGAGACAAGGTCGGCGTGGCGGGGACCTAGGCATCCTTCACAGGTGTCATGCCGGTCGAAGCTCAGCATGTAGCCGGTCTTGCAGGACAGGCACAGACGGATGGTGTTGGTGCTGGACATCGCGTTGTTGGACGATCAGTGCTAGTTGCTTGCTGAAGAAAAATGGGAGCCAATTACCCGCTCTCAATGTAATTTATACGGACCGGGTGGGGCCCACACAACAGGTGGGCGTGGACTATATTTTTCAGTGCGACGCTTTGCGTGATGGGATAAAACTCACAAGCGACAGCCTTAAAAGACGAAGCCTATACGAAATAGAACAAAGAGTCACTAATCTGGGAGTGATAATGGACCCTTCCCTGAAACTTAACAATCATGTAAACATGATTGTTAAATCATGTTTTTTCCAACTGAGGCGGCTGTCTAAACTGAAGCCCATATTGTCCAAAAATAACCTGGAGACAGTAATACATGCATTCATTACATCTAGGCTTGATTACTGCAATTCACTCCTGTTTGGTATCAGTCAGACCTCCATTGCACGACTACAACTGGTCCAGAATGCAGCAGCCCGATTTTTAACCAGTACAGGCAAAAGAGAGCACATTACACCAGTTTTGGCCTCACTGCACTGGCTACTGGTTCACCTTCGAATCCAGTTCAAAATACTCCTGTATGTCTACAAATCGCTGAACAGTTTCGCCTCCACCATCTCTCTGATCTGCTACAACCACATGTCCCACCACGTTCCCTGAGGTCAGCGGACCAATTGCTCCTCACAGTTCCAGGAACTCGTCTTAAGCGCAGAGGTGACAGGGCCTTCTCTGTAGCAGGACCAAGACTTTGGAACGAGTTACCTCTGCTTGTCAGACAGGCCCCCTCCCTCTCGGTTTTCAAATCCTGTTTAAAAACTCACTACTATTCAATAGCTTTCAACACAAGATGATCTGTGTTTTGATCCTGTATGCTCCACACTGGTTTGTCGTCATATTTATTATCTGTATCGTTTTTATGTCTATATTTTTGATCTACTTCATTTTGTATATTGCTTCGTGTGTTGTCTGTTGTTCTGTCTGTACAGATGAATGTACAGACAGAACATATATATAGGTATAAAGTATAGGAGCACTCGGTGCTGTATAGGAGTATAGGAGCACTCGGTGCTGTGACCCCCCTCCAAAATGAACAAGTGGCTCTAACACATCCCAGGAACAACCTCATCATCCATCTATTCATTATCTTTTCCAATTTCTTCCTTTCCAGGTCACGGGGGTCACTGGTGCCCATGTCCAGCAGTCAGTGTGAGAGGCGGGGGACAACCTGGACAGGTCTCCAGTCCATCACAGGGACACATAAAGACAAATGAGATAAACAACCATGCACTCTCTCACTCACACCTAAGGACAATTTAGAGTTACCAATTAGACTAATATGCATATTTTTTGGTCTGTGGGAGGAAACTGGAGTACCCGGAGAAAACCCATGCACGGAGAGAGCATGTAAACTCCACCCAGATAGGTCCATGGCTGAGATTTGATCCAGCAATGTTCTTCTTGACCCCTCAGCATTCAAAATACAATAAAATAAAACAAAAGTGGAAAGAGGAGATGTAAGACCCACTGTAAGCTGAAGAACTAGTGCAAAATACAGGAAGACTCATCTGAAATTGAGAGTGTGTGTGTGTGTGTGTGTGTGCAGTTACTGTTGGGGATGGAATAGAGATATGTTTCCTGGCTCATGGCAGCCAGCAGCGGCAGAGCACTGATATAAACGCGCACTTTAGCATCACTGTTATCTTCCCAGGTGTAATCCTGCACCATGTTGAGCAGCCCACGCACCAAGTAAAGCACCCCGTGCTCTGGATGGTCCTGTGAACACAGGTGGCAAGTCATCAGAGGGAGAACCAGAACCTGCGGTTCTTTCTGTTAAAATAGGAAAATTATTACCGGGATCACCAGCAGTGTGGCCAAGAAGTTATTGATGAAGTCCAGCAGGAAACTCTCAGAGGAGCGAAGTTTCCCCTCGATGCTGATGAAGCGAGGAACATCTGGAAGAACACTGACTGCTGCCTTCAGGAATGCATCCGCTGGAAGACCAAGATAAAAGACGGAGGTAAAAAGTGTGGAAAAAAGTTAATAAAAGCAACTCGAGGCCTCACATTCCTCGATATCATACATGTAAATATTTAACGCTCTATATCACCCACTACCTCTCATGCCAGTGTTTCACTCTAAGATTCTCCTATGATGGGAGGAACAGGAGTCAATTTGGTCACACCTTGAGAACATGCTGGGAATGAACATCAGCTACTACTACACTTAAGCCCTGTTTACAAGACAACGATCCAATGAAGAAAAATGTTTTTCCCATTTCTATTAACATATTTATATGAAAACGTTCTAATTACAATCTGTGTTTACATAGATGTGGAAAAGGTGCAGCTCCCTCACCATGCCACTATATGGTGCCATGTTCTTTGAAACTTGAAACTCCAAGTGCGCATGAGTAAAAAAACAAAAAAACATTCTGAACGTTCTAACGTTTCTCTCGCAAGAAAACCGCCATAACAAAAGCCCAGGTGATGTCCAAATTGAAAGTTTGGACTGAAACCTGACTGCTTTCAGTCCAAACCAAAGCAGTCAGGGGAAATTAGATTTATAGATTTATCAGACTCAGAAGCACAAACAATACTCTGGTATCCGCCATTGTCGATAGTTTCTTCTTCTGTGGATTGTAGGAAGCCATTATGTTTTGTGTCATACTGCGCACGAGCCAGGGATTGCCTGACAGAAAAGACTTATTTTATCTGTTTACACGACAACAGACACTGGGACATTTTTGAACCATTGCACTCTGGAACCCATTCTCAAATTGTGCCGTTGTCAGAGAAAACATTTGTTATTTTTGTGTAAATGAACAGTACAAACACAACAAAACTCTTCTATTTTCATCAGAAATTGTTTTTGTGTACACAGGGCCTAAAAGTGACTGAATTATTTATATCCACTTTTGTCATTCCTTAAGTTGTTCGAAAGAAGCAGACATCTTGAATTGGGCTGGCTTCAAAAGGTAATCAGTTGCAGATCTTCATCCAGTGATTACTATGATCTATCCAGAGGCGCATAAAATATTTTGCTAACAGAAAAAGTTTATTATTTTGGCGGTGGGTGATAAAAGTGAGGACAAAGTTGGGTATAGGAAGAAAGTGGAGGCAACAGAAGAAAAGAAAAAATAATAATTGGAAGCAGAGACAATGAGCCAATCAGCTGCTCACCTTGGGAAAGGCACTGGTTTGCCAGTGCAGCCTGACCAGACAGCAGGTAGAGGCTGAGCCGATTGAAGATGCTGCTGAGAGACGGGATGGTGATGAAACTGTAAGCAGCACATGCCTGGAGGACAGAGACACACACACACACACGCACGCACGCACGCACGCACGCACGCACGCATGCACACACACACACACACGAATCCATCAGCTGACATTGTCCTGATGTGATGATGGACAAGTGAAAAACCATTGGTCAGCGTTTTGGAACCAGAGGTTAGTTTTTTCCACAAACCTTGAACCAGGTGTTGATTTTGTTGCTTTTAAACCAGGTAAAGACACGTTATTATGTGGTTCATGTCATCTCATTCTGTTAAATGTTGACCTCAAACTCTTGGTAAAGTTACTAGCAGGCGATTAGAAGGAGTTTTACCCTCAATTATATTCTTAATAAAACTGGTTTTATCTGCAACATACACTCCTTTTTTAATATCCAGAGAGTATTTTGTGTGGTTTACATCCCCTTCACAACTACTCTACCCAAGGCTTTTTTACACTGATGATGATAAAGCATTGTCAAAGTAAAGTGGAATTATCAATTTTTTAAATTTTAAGATTTGGAGAAAAAATGATGTCATAGGTAAAATTATGATATGTGGCTCCTCAGCTGTTGAGATAGATGACAGACTGAATATGTTTGCTTACATCTTCCTTTAAGACAGGGATGCCACTAAGTCCTTTACAGTCTCTGATTGATAGTCCACCATTCAGGGCATCCAACTTAGATTTTGTTTATGTTGGAGTGTACGTAGCTGACACAATAGTATTTTTTTTCTTCATAAGAATTATTATTTTTTGTTTACACAAATAAACTAAATTTTAAGTGATGGTCTCTCCTAAATCTTTGTGGCAGCTATAATCAATCTTTTCGAAATAATTTACACACATATCTACTGGTATTTCAATCTACCGATGTTCCAGTTTTTCTCTCTTTAACTTTTTGCTGCAAGTCTGGATTTTATTTAGCGCAGGAAAACAACCAAGGGGCACAAACCAAGTCCAATAATTCTCAGTCTGGTCATCTGATGACCAGACTGAGAATTATTGGACTTGATACCTGGATGGTTGAGCATGAACTTTGTCACAAATCAAGTCTTACCACAAAGTCTTACCCAAAGCTCTAGGTGGAATATCATTACCTAAACTCTTGTACTGAGTAACTAATATAAGAAGTCTGAAATTGACACCTTGCATATTTTTAAAACTAGGTTGAATAAATCCTATAGCTAGGGTCAGTTTGGGTTTCCTGGACTATCCCTTAATTCTGCTGCTACAGGCTTAGACTGCTGGAGGACAAACTGACCTCATTTCCCCACTCTGCTGCTGCTGTCTTTACTTGCTCTACTCTACCTGTTTGTATTCGTAACTATTTATATCTTCAATACGTTTTTGTTGTTGATGTCTTTCCTTCTATGGAAAGTACACCTGGACATGCCATTCTGTTTGTCTGTTCCTCCTTCCTGTCCTATCAAACCCAGTTGGTTGAAGCAGAAATTTTGAATAAAGTAGATGCCATTTCCTGCATCCTGGTGTATTTTAACAGGTTGTTTAACATTTAGTTTTGCCTACATAAGTAACACTTGATTCAATAACTATTGTAGAGTTAATGGCACAACAAGAAGTAGCCTGACCAACAGCTCTCCTTGTGTGAATAGAGCACGCTCCACATCTCTCATGCATCCTAGTCACAATCTAAGAAACACAATGTAGCCTAAGATAACTTTTAGAAGAAAAAAAAATCATTAGCTAATAAACGATAATAATAATCACTCCTTCTTACCAAAGACCTAGCATAAAGCAATATGATCATCATCCATCATGTTTATTAGTAGCTTAAAATTCCTAATTAAAACTCCAGCAGTGGGCTAGGTCTACTGTAACCTTACCCAATTGTAGGGTCAAGAGACAAACATGTATGAACAATATTCAGGAATTGTTTCTATAAGAACATTATCAAATATTTTATGTGAACGATAAGATCGCTCTGCCCACGAGGAAATGTAACCCAGGGTGAGCTAACCTCAGATAAACAAACAAACAATGATAGCTGTAATGTGGAGGTAGTCAAGCTCACAATGTTTAGTGAGGCATTTCTGCCTTATCAGCCAACATTAAGGCAAATAAGACAAAAGTAAATAATAAATTCTAAGCTACTAATAATTCATAGTTACTGCAGTAGATGTTTTCATGCCACAGAGTGACACAGAGCAAGAACTCAGTGAAATTCAATATGTACAAGTAAATTTTACATTTCACAACCTAGTAAACATTTTGTACAAAATCAGTTTAGTTTTACAAAGACTAAACTTATTCAACCAGAAGTTGTAACATATATCTACATATAAAACACACAAAACAAAGCACAACTAGTTTTAAGCATTAACTGTCACGGTCAGCGGCCCCCGCTGCCCCCCCATCTGCCTAAGCCTCTGCTCTTTGTGTGGTTTCTGTTTCTGTGTCCTAAGCCTCTGCTCTTTGTGTGGTTTCTGTTTCTGTGTATCTGGTCCTGTTTTCCACTCACTCCTCAGTCTGCCTCTCCACTCCTCAGTTTTTTTATCATTCACTCCTCAGTCTGCCTCTCCACTCCTGTCACGGTCAGCGGCCCCCGCTGCCCCCCATCTGCCTAAGCCTCTGCTCTTTGTGTGTTTTCTGTTTTTGTGTATCTGGTCCTGTTTTCCACTCACTCCTCAGTCTGCCTCTCCACTCCTCAGTCTTTATCATTCACACCTGTCCCTCATCAGCCACCTGCCCAGGTGCTCTCATTACTCACTCTCCCTCTGCCTTATAAAAAGCCTTTCTCTCCTTCACTCCTTGTCCGGTCATTGTTCTGTGTTTACAGACATCTCAGTCCTCTTCTGTCTTGTCTGTTTCTTGTCCACCTGATTATCTGCTCTGCCTTGTTTCTGATCCTGTCTGCCCAAGTAAGTTTTGCTGCACCGACAGCCTTTTGTTTTGTTATTAAAAAAATAAATTATTTTTATTTTTAAACTCCTGCCTCGCTCGCCTCTCTGCAATTGGGTTCCAACACTGAGGATTGTGACAGAATGACCGGAACTACTGAACCCAGCGGGAGGATGATTTCTCTATTCGAGTTTTTGGCCCGTGAGGCAGAGAAGACTGCCCAGAAAGGGAGGAGAGGAGGAATCCATTTTGGGGGACCTGCCTGGCCATTAAACCTGGGTCCTCACAGCCTCTCCGTCCCTCTCCACCTCACCGCGCCGCTGCACCCCGCTGCCCACCTCCTCCTCGCTCTCCACCTGGTGGGGCCAAGCAATCATCGGAGAGAGGGGGGCAAACTGCTGGTCCTCCCCGAACCCAGCGCAAGAAGGGGAGAGCTTCGCGAGGGGAGGGGTTCATGGCTTCTCCATCACCTGCTGCTGCAGCCCCGTCTCTGGTCTCTGGTTCTCCAGCTGCAGCCCCGTCTCTGGTCTCTGGTTCACCAGCTGCAGTTCTGTCTCTGGTTCTTGGTTCTCCAGCTGCAGCCCCATCTCTGGTCTCTGGTTCACCAGCTGCAGTTCTGTCTCTGGTTCCTGGTTCTCCAGCTGCAGCTCCGTCTCTGGTCTCTGGTTCTCCAGCTGCAGCTCCGTCTCTGGTCTCTGGTTCTCCAGCTGCAGCCCAGTCTCTGGTCTCTGGTTCTCCAGCTGCAGCCCCGTCTCTGGTCTCTGGTTCTCCAGCTGCAGCTTTGTCTCTGGTTCCCGCTCCGGCTCTTCTGGTCTCGCCGCCCGCAGACCTCACGCCGGA